TTTTGGGGGGGATTTTTGGGATTTTTCCAGGATTTTTTGGTAATTTTTGGGAGAATTTTTTTGTATTTTTGGGGATTTTTTGGGATTTTTTGGGGAATTTTTTTGCATTTTTGGGGATTTTTTGGGGGATTTTTTGGGAATTTTTTGGGAATTTTTTGGGAATTTTGGGGGGGATTTTTAGGGATTTTTTTGGGGAATTTTTTGGGATTTTTTGGTGGATTTTTGGGGATTTTTTGGGAAATTTTGGGGGATTTTTTGGGGAATTTTGGGGGATTTTTTTGGTGGATTTTTTGGGATTTTGGGGGGAAATTTTGGGGAGTTTTTGGGGAATTTTTGGGATTTTTGGGGGGAATTTTGGGGGGGATTTTTGGGGATTTTTTGGGAATTTTGGGGGGAATTTTGGGGATATTTTGGGGAATTTGGGGAAATTTTTGGGGGATTTTTTTGGTGGATTTTTTTTGGAATTTTGGGATTTTTTTGTGGGAATTCTGCTCCCAAAATCCCGGATTTTTTTCCCACCAGGAACCGTTTCCCTGTGGACTCCCAACATTCCCGAGCCCGTGGTCCGGCTCCTGGCCCATCGCGGATCCGTGCGCGGCCTCGCCGTCGACGCCTCGGGAAGGTGAAAAATCCCGGGAATTCCGGGGAATTCCGGGAATTCTGGGAGATTTCCAAGGGATTTCTGGGAATTCCGGGGATTTTTGGGAATTCTGGGAGATTTCCAAGGGATTTCTGGGAATTCCAGGGGATTTCTGGGGGATTTCCAGGAATTCTGGGGGATTTCTGGGAGATTTCCAAGGGATTTCTGGGAATTCTGGGAGATTTCCAAGGGATTTCTGGGGGATTTCCAGGAATTCTGGGGGATTTCTGGGAGATTTCTGGGGGATTTTTGGGAATTCTGGGAGATTTCTGGGGGATTTTTGGGAATTCTGGGAGATTTCCAAGGGATTTTTGGGAATTCTGGGAGATTTCCAAGGGATTTCTGGGAATTCCAGGGGATTTCTGGGAGATTTCCGGGGGATTTTTGGGAATTCTGGGAATTCTGGGAGATTTCTGGGAATTCTGGGGGAATTTTTGGGAATTCCAGGGGATTTCTGGGAATTCCAGGGGATTTTTGGGAATTCTGGGAGATTTCCAAGGGATTTCTGGGAATTCCAGGGGATTTCTGGGGGATTTCCAGGAATTCTGGGAGATTTCCGGGGGATTTCTGGGAATTCTGGGAGATTTCCAAGGGATTTCTGGGAATTCCAGGGGATTTCTGGGAGATTTCCAAGGGATTTTTGGGAATTCTGGGAGATTTCCAAGGGATTTCTGGGAATTCTGGGAGATTTCCAGGGGATTTCTGGGAATTCTGGGGGATTTCTGGGAATTCCTGGGGATTTTTGGGAATTCTGGGAGATTTCCAAGGGATTTCTGGGAATTCTGGGGGATTTCTGGGAATTCTGGAGGATTTTGGGGGGATTTCTGGGGGATTTCTTGGAATTTTGGGGGGATTTCTGGGAATTCTGGAGGATTTTGGGGATCTCTGAGGGGGTTTGGGGGTGGATTTTCCTGGATTTTCCTGGATTTTGGGTGGATTTTGCTGGAATTTGGGTGGATTTGGGTGGGATTTTCATGGATTTTTCCTGGATTTTCCTGGATTTGGGTGGGATTTTCCTGGATTTTCATGGATTTTCCTGGATTTTGGGTGGATTTTCCTGCATTTTCCTGGATTTGGTGGGATTTGGGTGGATTTTGGGTGGATTTTGGTGGAATTTGGGTGGATTTGGGTTGGATTTTCCTGGATTTTCCTGGAATTTGGGTGGGATTTTCCTGGATTTTCCTGAATTTTGGGTGGATTTTCCTGGATTTGGTGGAATTTGGGTGGATTTTGGTGGAATTTGGGTGGATTTTGGTGGAATTTGGGTGGATTTGGGTGGATTTGGGTGGAATTTGGGTGGATTTTGGTGGAATTTGGGCGGATTTTGGTGGGATTTGGGTGGATTTTGGTGGGATTTGGGTGGATTTTGGTGGAATTTGGGTGGGATTTGGGTGGATTTTGGTGGAATTTGGGTGGATTTTGGTGGAATTTGGGTGGATTTTGGTGGGATTTGGGTGGATTTTCCTGGATTTGGTGGGATTTGGGTGGGATTTTCCTGGAATTTGGGTGGGATTTTCCTGGATTTTCCTGAATTTTGGGTGGATTTTCCTGGATTTGGTGGAATTTGGGTGGATTTTGGTGGAATTTGGGCGGATTTTGGTGGGATTTGGGTGGATTTTGGTGGAATTTGGGTGGATTTTGGTGGGATTTGGGTGGATTTTGGTGGGATTTGGGTGGATTTTGGTGGGATTTGGGTGGATTTTGGTGGGATTTGGGTGGATTTTGGTGGGATTTGGGTGGATTTTGGTGGGATTTGGGTGGATTTTGGTGGGATTTGGGTGGATTTTGGTGGGATTTGGGTGGATTTTGGTGGGATTTGGGTGGATTTTGGTGGGATTTGGGTGGATTTTGGTGGGATTTGGGTGGATTTTGGTGGGATTTGGGTGGATTTTGGTGGGATTTGGGTGGATTTTGGTGGGATTTGGGTGGATTTTCCTGGATTTGGTGGGATTTGGGTGGGATTTTCCTGGATTTCCCTGGAATTTGCTGGAATTTGGGTGGATTTGGGTGGGATTTTCCTGGATTTTGGTGGGAATTGGGTGGGATTTCCCTGGATTTTGCTGGAATTTGGTTGGATTTTGCTGGAATTTTCTGGAATTTGGGTGGATTTTGCTGGATTTTCCTGGAATTTGGTGGAATTTGGTTGGATTTGGGTTGGATTTTCCTGGTTTTCCCTGGAATTCAGCTGGAATTTGGTGTCCCCAAACGCAGCCTCATGGCCACGTCGGGTTTGGACCGGAAGATCCGGATTTTTGACCTGCGGAATTTCGGGATCCTGCGGGAATGGGGGGTCCCAACGGGGGCTGCACACCTGGAATTCAGCCAGAGGGGGCTCCTGGCCAGCGCCTGCGGGGACCTGGTGCAGGTCAGAGACCCAAAAAACACCAAAATAGCCCCAAAAACACACCCAGAACACAAAAAAACACAAAAAACACACAAAAAATTAAAAAAAACCCAAAAAAAATAGCCCCAAACCCCCCCAAAAACCCCAAAAAAACCCAAAAAAGCCCCAAAATGACACCCAGAACACAAAAAAACACCAAAAACATACAGAAAATTAAAAAAAAACCCAAAAAAAAATAGCCCCAAACCCCCCCAAAAAACCCCAAAAAAGCCCCAAAATGACACCCAGAACACAAAAAAAATCCAAAAAATTACCAAAAACAGCCAAAAAACACCAAAATAGCCCCAAAAACACACCCAGAACACAAAAAACACCAAAAACACACAAAAAATTTTAAAAAAACCTCAAAAACCACCCAAAAAACCCCAAAATAGCCCCAAAATGACACCCAGAACACAAAAAAACACCAAAAACACACAAAAAATTTAAAAAAAACCCAAAAAAACTCAAAAAACCCCCCAAAAACCCCAAAAAACACCAAAAAAGCCCCAAAATGACACCCAGAACACAAAAAAATCCAAAAAACTACCAAAAACAGCCAAAAAACACCAAAATAGCCCCAAAAACACACCCAGAACACAAAAAAACACCAAAAACACACAAAAAATTTTAAAAAAACCCCAAAAAACCTCAAAAACCACCCAAAAACCCCCAAAATAGCCCCAAAAACACACCCAGAACACAAAAAAATCCAAAAAATTACCAAAAACAGCCAAAAAACCCCAAAATAGCCCCAAAAACACACCCAGAACACAAAAAACACCAAAAACACACAAAAAATTAAAAAAAAAACAAAAAAAATAGCCCCAAACCCCCCCAAAAAACCCCAAAAAAGCCCCAAAATGACACCCAGAACACAAAAAAATCCAAAAAATTACCAAAAACACCCAAAAAACCCCAAAATAGCCCCAAAAACACACCCAGAACACAAAAAACACCAAAAACACACAAAAAATAAAAAAAAAAACAAAAAAAATAGCCCCAAACCCCCCCAAAAAA